CCTTTTCAAAATACAAGTAGCATTGAACATTTTAACCACAAACGAATCAAAAGTCAAAAAAAGAGTTGTAAGAGTGTCACAAATTATTCATAACATGCTCAACCTTTTTAAAACAGAGAGGTATGCTTAACACTATTCACATGCATGACTATCTTCTTAGTACCGACTAAGTCAAAACCATCGCTTCCCAAAAAGACGACAATTTTGCACTTAAGAAAGCCGTCAAGCAATCCATCATCAGGCAACTTCATGCATTTATTCAGGAATGGCTAGGTGATAAAACTACACACAAGGCATTATTTAATAACTCACCACACATGGCCTGCAAATCACTCAAGATGGTTCAAAATCTTACTTCCTTTTCAAAATACAAGTAGCATTGAACATTTTAACAGCTAACGAATCAAATTTAACTTGTTCATTTTAGGGCAAAAAGAAGGGGAGACAGAGGTGAACTACCTGGGAGGAAGGTGTCTTTAATATATCACTCAATTTTCTTGCTAATCCAAAATCACACAGCTGCCAGGAAACAAATGGAACTTCAACATCATATAATTGGTCAAAAGCACGAGTCATGATGTGGAAATGTCACAGCATAAAGATCACCATACCTTCGTGATTCCATTTTCATCCAACATGATGTTTGAATGCAAGTATCTGGTATAGTAGAAAAAACACCAAAAAAGTAATTCATGCCCAAAAGAACAAGTGTTACAAAGAACAATGAAGGCTAAAGTTCCTTACAAAAGAGCTCTAACAAGGCCACAAGCAAGATGATGTATTGAATCTTCGGGAAGCTTACCATCCTTCAACTTTGAGATTAAATGATGTTAAAAATCTCCAAGGTGGTTTTAAAACTAAATTACAGGTAAGATGCAGATGCAAGTTGTGACATTACCAACTACAGTAAACTGTGGTCATTTTGATTACTCTTTAAATACAAATAAAAAAAGAAACCTATTTCTTCACATCATTTTGCTGGCACAAGAAACAAGTTAGTCCAAAGAGTGAGAACCTTTATTTGTGAAACTACAAACAATCATCTCTATTAAAGTGTTGTAATCGCACATGACACCGATGTCCTTAGTGCCTCTTTGGGAAATCCCAATGTAGGCATGCAACATATTTACCATGAAACCTCAATATCCCACGCATCTACTAAAAAAAAGGACCAAGAAGAATTAGGGTGTTGTCACAAATTTTGGATGTTCGTATATAATGTCAGCATAAGGCATCCTATATACACAGCAGTTATACCACTGGAACAATGAAATGTATTTATAAAATAGCATACCTGCCAGTGCCAAGCTCATGAGATTTCCTACAATATTCTAAAACCAACCACAGGTGTGCATATGTTTCATACCTATGGATCAGTTGAATTAGAAAATAAGTCAGAGAAATCTTTTTATTAAACACCAAAAGGATCTTCACCACAGAAACGAAATTGAAGAAAAAGAAATGAGTTACATGGAAGACAGGAAAAAGATAAATCTCACCCGGAGTGGAACTTCAACACATCTGCATGATCTAGAGAATGAAGAATTTTGACCTGTGGCAAATGTAGTCAATAGAAGAATAAGTATGCAAAAAAGGAAACTGAAGGAAATAGATTTTACGAAAAGAGGTTTAGGTTCTTGATTATTTGTTCACGGGACTTCAAATTTATGCCACGGAACAGAAAGAATGCTATGACTCATATAATTCCCAATATTCTCGTAACTACAATAGTCACAAGCATCAACAATCCTTAACATCTAGAAATATGATGAGGAAAGTTGTTTTCTATGACCACACTTTCCAAAAGCATATACATTTAGCTTCTGAAGTAGTTCAGCTGCTTCGGCAAATTTCTAAGAACTATAGATAATGTTAAAACAATTGAGTACGCCGATCCATAAGCACTGTCGATTAGCAGGCACTAATAGAATTTTACCGCAAGTCAATGAATATAACTTACACAACAACGTGTTGTAAGTAGACGGTTTCTAAAGTCCATACTAAAGTCCATACTGAGGACGGTTCACGGATAATTACCCTGTAAATACCTATTACATAGCATTCTTCCTTTATGTCTATTCCTCTAAAAAAGTTTACAATTAAAAATTCCCAATTAAATCTGAAATTCTCATCTTCCCAATAGGGTGGCCTAGCAATCAAATAGTGATAGTAACAGTTTGGGAACTAAGGTTCAAATTTCACAATAGACAACACTAGGTGATATCTTCTCATCTACCTAAACCTTGATGTGCATAGTTAAACAAACAGTACTATCCACTAAAATATACGGTGGCCCAGATACCACTGTTATCAAGAGGATAAATCAGGCACTTCCACAATTGTATCATCACATGCAAGAAAATGCAGCGAAGGGTCTATCGAAAATAGTCTAATCTCTCAACCTCCCAAGGTAAGGATAGTTAAACAAACAGTACTATGCATACACGGTGACCCAGATACCACTATTATCAAGAGGATAAATCAGGCACTTCCACAATTATATCATCACATGCAAGAAAATGCAGCTAAGGGTCTATCGAAAATAGTCTAATCTCTCAACCTCCCAAGGTAGATAAGGTCGGTGTACACTCTACCCCCCTCCCCAAACCCCACTTTATGAGATTATGTTGTGTACGTTGTTGTTATTATTGTAGGTGAAATCAAATTCGAAATTTCAACAATCTAATTCCACTTCCCTAGTAAACTCTATATGAATTAAATCTCAAACTCAAATTACAATTAAAATTCAAATATAAAAACAAAGAACCTTTTTTCATGGGGTTTCTTACTTCATGAAGAACCTTGTTTTTCTGAGATTTATCCACACTTAAAATCACAAAATACTCTATTGTCTTCTTCTTTCTTCCTTTATATACAGTCTGCAAAAAGACAAACAAAATCAAAAAAAAAAAAAAAAAAACTTAAAGAACACTGTTAACCAAAAATCGCATACAAAAGAAGAACAGAGAAAAAACAAACAATTACCGAGTGTTTTCCATGGCCAATAGCTTCACATATATGATACTGATTCATATTTTTCACTTGCTCACAAAAATCACTTAGCTAGGGTTTTTCCTCTTTTTCTGAATCTGAAATTGAAACTAATACAGTTCTTTTCTCTGCTAATCAAAGAGATCTACTGAAGAAATTCCTTGAAATCAAACAAAAATTTACTGAGAATTTTTGAAAATGGTGAGATTTGTGAGGAAGAGAAAGAGAGAGAGGAGATCCCGAGAGCGAGAGAGTATACAACGGTTAGTTTGACAAATAATAAATGAAATCTAAAAATTATTTTTATTTTTAATTTAAGAGAAAAGGAAATTTAAAAAGTTAGGATAAGGTGGGCAAAAAGGTATATTTTCTGTTTGTTTAATAATTCTCCAACAGTTTAAATTTGAATCCATGTATTTTATTAGTTGTTGAATAAAATAAGGTACATCTAATTTAAAGACATTTTTACTTTTTTGTTTTGTTTTACTAGATAAATATGCTTTATAAAAAAAGTTATTTTATTTGTTTGAAAATGAGTATGTTTGATCAAAATTTTAAAATATGTTTATTTAAAATATACTTTTGGCCAAATA